AGTGTAAAAACTATGTGGATAAAACAAATATGAAAAGAACGTTCAGCGTCAACTGGTAATACACACTCGGTATTGATATCTTACTAATAAAGAAAAACGCAAAAGCGAAAACCTTATAGTTCCTGTTGCAAAGATAAAGGTTGGAAATTCGTAATTCTCCTTCGACTTTTCATCATGAATTAAAGAATTTGGGTTCTGTGTGATCCCCAAATAAGGCAAGATTATATTCCTAATCAAGCACGGCACCCCGAATCTACTAATGGTATCTTTAAACTCCGGGTACAGCGATAAATTGCAGAGTGTAGCGGTAGCGGATTCGAGGATAGCAGTATTTAAAGCACTCGTTGAAAATCGCGATTGCAGAGTATCTTCGTCATTGTTTTCATTCAATATAACAAATAAATTAGAAACCACCGAAGAATCATCCATCTTTTTCTACAAAGCAGTAAAAAATCAATGTCATTACCCTAATTTCTAACGTACACCCGCAGGATAAATTGCGTAAAGCACAAACAGCATATTTCTTGAATTCTTGAATGGAGGAAAGAAGCAATCTTGAAAGAAACTCAATGCCACCCAGATCACTACAACCAAAAAAATGCATTAACACGTTGTTTAGCGGAGTCTAGTAATAAACAAAAACGCCTTTAGAAAAAAATACAAAAATACCACCTACGCAACTCTCCCCCTGACTTCAAGGTTTTGATAGGATAAATGACAAATGTAAGCAGCTGCAGCGACAACTTCCTTATTAGTACCCCGAGAAATAACCTCCAAGACATGTTTTATTTCTTTATCCCTTACAATACCGCACGACACACTTTCTTCAAGGTTACCAACACTTTGTTCTAAAGCGCAAATATTCATTGACGGATCAACACCAACCCCATCCAGAAAAATGAGCTTCGGAACAGCCGTTAAACTTGGAATTAATTTCAAATTCAGTTAAGAGCTGATCACATGTATCATCACCGGAGGAGCTACCCAAGTAAAAATGAGCGGAATGAGCAGAACTTTGGGATACAAAGTTTGCATAATTCCCTGGGGCAGTCGAAACATTCGGAGAGAAGTCGTTGTAAAGATAGGACATTGTAGTCTAACAAAATTACCAAAAGATATCCTGGAATATTAACAAGTAAAAAAGTGAGATAAACAACCAACCAATTAGTGAGGAAATCCAACTAAAAGATTTAGATTCGCAAAGTCCATCACTCGAGACATTCAAAAGCTGTTCATAGTAATATTGCTGCAGCACAAAGAATACAAGCCGGATTAAATACGCTAACAGATAAACATTAACAGCTACGTGTGAGGAAAATTAAGTTTCGCACCAGCACAGATTTCTTGCATAAATCAAGGATGGGCAAACATTTGCCAAGGTCATTAATGGTAAGATAAAGTTTATCCTAGAGGTAAGTCAATTATTTAGTGCCTACTATAAATATCCTTAAAAATAATTTTTTAGACTGCAAAATCAACAATTTTTATTTTATTTTTTAATTTAGACGTGAAAGAACTCTTTTACGGGAAGAATGACTAGCCGTTAGTAGGTTTTCTCTTAAATAAGCATAATTAGGCAAGTTACATGAAGTTTTAAAATTTGCGCAATGTTGTTTAAAGAATAGTTGTAGTAGACAGGCATGATATGCCTTGAGACATTTTTAGTCCTGTACTGAACAAATTTTCAGCAGTCTATTAGACTCAAAATAGTCAATCTGCTCTGGCCTACCTGCTCACTAAGCAGCACTTTAGCCTATCATGGGTCTTGGGGTTGTGGCTTTTCTACCATGACCTACTTACTGTTGAATTCCCTACCTAGTTTACCCAGACCGTATTTTATAAGTTACGGTTTAACTGCGTCGAATGCTCGTTTAATGTTTGCTTTGGTATTTTTGCACCTTTTTTACCCTAGCTATGAGTTCTTGCGATACGTGCTGTTGATACCCACATTTTATCTGTGGGTCCTGTAATTATTCCGCAAGTGTGCTTTATGGTTGAATGGTTAATCTACCTTTTTTTGCACGGGCTTTTATCCTAACTTCCGTTTTGATGTGAGCTCCAATCATGTGCAGGCCATATTTTTATTGTCTTGTGAACTATTTCCTGTCCTTTTTTAAAAGGAACACCTGCAAATTTAGTCTTTTCGCGGATCAAGTTGGTGAAAATTTTAATGGCAGTGCTCTTGAATATTTTACTAGTCCACTGTAGCCTGTAATTTCTTCCCGGCCACTTCGGCTGTTTTTTCGCAGGTATTATCTTTGTCTTCTTCACCATGCTGGATAAAAGTTTTGTAATCGGCATGCAGCTTTATTGCATTTGATTTAGCAAAACTTTTTAACATTTTGAGAACGTGTAGGTTTCTGTCTTAACTTTTAGTAATTTGGATACGGAATGCTAATCAAACCGGCTAATCGCTTTAATTCTCACTCTAAACGTGAGCGTGAAGGTGATCGTAAGTGCGTTTCCAGTTTCGCTAACTTATTTAGCTTCATCTATTTCACACAATGAAGGCAATGACATGTTTGATTCCGAAAAGTACTTCTTTATACTGTGTTGACAATATTTTCAGGGAATATATTGAGAAATTAGAGGCTTTTGCATTGCAGCTAAAGCAGTTGAACGAAAGGACACATCCAGGTACCACGAAAGACACGACTATGTCCTTTTTTAGAATTCTGCAAGGCTTCCAAAAGGATAGAAAATTGGCTTGCAGATCAGAAACTCCGCAATCAAATTCTTCACGATTACAAAATAGATGAAATTCATAGCCAATATGAACGCGAAATTCGTACGTGTGATCGTGACTGTGGAGTGAGCAGTTGACGGTTTGTGTAATCCTTTTTGCTAGATTGAAAAGAAGAAGATTCAGGAATACCTAGTCGGTTTATGTGAAGATTTGAAGCGTCGATTGGAGCATGACAAAAAAGGTATTGAACTGACAACCACAGGTGGTAGGTCTCCATTATTATTTTTATGGCTAATGATTACAAATCACGTATTTCGTACTTGTTGCAAGTTGCGATTGCTATATTTCACCTGTGGCTTGTAATGCTTTGTGCTCTGAAGTTGCTACCATTTCTCCTACTCGACAGCCTGTTCTGTGCTTGTAGATGTTCTCGAATTAAAACCAACAGTAACTCGCAAGCTGCGGCGTCGGGCACCTGAGATGCCCTCCTCTGTCGTAGGTTCAGGAATCGTGAGTAGTGCTAGTGGGAAATTCGGCTATTGGGGTGATTTGCATTTGTACGCACCCACCTGGTCTGTCGCAATCTTAAATACCTCCACCAAGTCCGGCATAGAACTGCCATCGAGTCCCTATCCTACCAGTGGCACAGGACAGGAGACCGTTGAAGATCCCATCTACCACGCCGTTGTTCCACCTCCAAGCACGTTTGGTAATCTATTCGGTAGCCTGGGCGTCAATGTGGAAGATGGGAGTAGTCTCCTGAATCACTTAATCGCTTCTATAAGTGCCTCAAATGCAGCAGGAAACGGACATGGCGATTCTGGTGTCTTATCCACCTCCGGCGTGCTTTTTACTCAGTCGGCTCTAGCCAGCACCTTTGGATGCATTGGCGCTACTGGCCCGAACTCATCTGCCGTGACGTCGGTTGCTGCTGTCATTGTTCCTGGACTAACTGGTTTGGCCGGAGCTCAACCGCCAAAACGACGGAAGCAGCAGAACAACCAACCACTAACTCAATTAAGCCTACTTTTACCTGAAAACGATATCTACTCGGATCTCACACTCATACACAGGTTTGTCCTATCCTCTAAGCTAGTAAAAGTATTAATAATTTGGCACTCTTCGTGAACTCATTCCCTTTTTCATCATCGTACTATCACGCACAAGTTGCTTTCAATGGAGGTTATTAGTTTTTTATGAGGTCATTGATGCATGATTCATCTAGAATGAACATATGATATATTCTTAAGGCAATAATGGAGAATCTTCTCTAGGTTTGTTGTGTGCGTCTGGTTGAATAGGACTTGTGGAAAGCCACCTTTAAGTGGTGGCCTGAAAAAGCACAGTCATGAGACCAGCGGGGGGACTGGGGCCACAGTACGTGGCGTCACAGGCGCGAGCAGTCCCCTTCCAGCGGGCACTCGTAGCGAGGATACGCATTCGAGGCGACGCAGCGATAACACGGAGAGCGGTCGAAGAGAGCAGCACCATCGGCACCATCATCATCATCACGACTCTGGCTCCCGCGAGGGTAGCTCCAATAGCCCTCTCATCTGGATTGACGATGGTCGTCTTTACATCGGGCAGTCGTGGTGCGTTTTTCAGTCAAGCGAAACAACCATTTTATAATATGTATCAATGATCTACGACGGTGATTATGATGCATCCATCGTAGTTACCAACAGGGAACTCCAGTCTACCTGGAAAGCCACGGATGCAATGGCACGGTGGTTGCAGTGGGTGCGCAGGACATCTCCATCAAGCGGAGTTCTGACACTGGCATTATGCGCATCACAGTTCAACAGCTCAAACTTGGCCGTTATGTTCTGGCCCCACTAAAGCCCCAACAGTAGTTTCGTTTTCACATCCTAACTTTTAGTTCCAATATTACCCGCCTCTAAGATTGAATATTCTGGATTAATGCTTCGTAAATCATGATGTATCACTTTACAACATTTGCTGTAACTGTACCTGCTTTAGTATGTTACTGGCTTAAATAATTTAAAGTTCTTTATATCTCATTTCACTCATTTCAACAGTGTAATTAACAATTTAGTATTTTAGCAACCAGAGGGACAGTTTTTCAGAAAGGGTCGTTAATTATAAATGCCATTACAGACAGACGACGGTTCGCGGACTAGGCCGTCAGTGCAACTTTGTGGTTGCTGCTCTGGTGCAAAAGTATGCGCGAGGCACCGGAGCTCGTTTGAAAGTGATTGAACGTATGTCCAGGTGACTTAGAGACGATTGATTGTGAATGAGTGTAGACGAACAGTGTTTTGGTATTTGCCTAACTACACATTAGGTTACGCAGACTGGCTTCCACGGCTCTTACCTCTGATACGGTAGCGTACACTTCCGACCATGCTTGTAGCCTGCCGGAGCTTCTGTGCGTTTCCAAACACCGCTTGTTACCACTTCGAGGAAGCCGCGGGGCACACAAGCGTACCGCTACATATTTGCCCCGCGTTATTGATGTCAGTCTTAGGGATCCAGTAGCGGTTGGTGTTTCCGTGACCACTATCAGGTGCTGCGTTTGAAGTTTGGCAAGGTACTGTATTCGCTACTGGTTTTAAGGACCCACTACGATTCACCCACTATATGGAAATTTGCCTTTTTACTGGATATTCGCATTTGTTAATGTGATGGGTTTCTATCTACAGCAACATAAAATAAAACCAAGAAATATATTGTTTAAATTTTGGAAAACATTTCAACTAGAGTGAGGTCAATGCATTAAAGGTACATTGGCCTCATCTAAAGGTCTCGCCGAGGGTGTTGCTCTGTTGGATGCTGGCGTCCCTTGCAGTTGTCGGCGTCTGCGCACCTGCCTCTGGCTCGCCTAATCCCAAATTCCATCTGAGGAGAACCCCCACAGCATCCGCAAGGCGACGAATTTCATCTCTCACGAGTGGTGCTGAGCACATCTGACAAGCTAGATCCGGTTGGTTCTCGATGTGACTATTATCCAAATAAGGCATAATAAGTGATCCACAAGAGTAATACCATAACCTAGGCATACGAAGGGTAACTGAGGTCCAACGTAGTTAAACCGTAAATATTGATAAGGCCTTTATAAATTTTAACAGTGAAAAATGACTTACGACATTAAGGTTGTGTATGTCATTGGAAAATCACAATTAGGGCAGAGAGTTACGTCTTCTTTTACGACGTGTTTACCCTGAACACAAAATAGTGCAATGGATAGTTTGGTCAAAACCGATTGGAATCTAAGATGCAATAATAAATATCTTAGTAATGTCTTTGGAATTAAAAAACAGAAATCATAGATTTGTCCTAAACAGTTATATTCGGCAAAACTGTTTGTCAATTTGCCATTTTAGATTGCACGAAGGACAATCTTTTCAACTAATTTTGAAGACATTGAAGTGAATCTTGTTAGTAGTTATTTGCATATCTACATTGGAGTGTTAGGCTCATTTGTCATAAGTAGTTCTTACGACTGTGGCCTAAACACGTTTGGGAATACGTGAACTGAAATAATTTGACTCAGAGGAATAAGTGGAGAGGTGCGCTACCGTGAGAGTGCAGTAGGGCAGATGGGTTCGACAGGAGCCGCAGGTAAGCTCGTACTCGGCCACAGCATCGGAGCAGAAGGGGCAAGGGGTGGCGGCGCTGAGTGCCTCCGCTTCTTCGGACGAGAGTTTCTCCGGGTGGCGGACGATGCTCTCGAATCGACGACGGTAGCGCGAATCTATTTTTTCCCTGTACTCTGTTCTCAGCAGCATTGAGGCGTACGTAAAACCCGTGTGTTTTAGATTCACTTTTTGACATTCAATGACGGTGCTCGACAGAATCGGCACAATATCTAGTGTAAAGGCGAGTGGTAGCTGTGAGCTTGCTTCTTGGTGATACAGAAGTGTGTCCAGCCCTTCGATATTGTTTCAAGTGTTATTACGTTATGGTATTACTTATGTATGTATGCCTAGTTTGCATGCAGATACAGCATACAACCTAATCGGTTTCATAAAAGAAGTAAACTATGAAGTATACTCGCACCAAGTGGATGAATATCATCTCTGTAGCCAGGCAGATGTACCGTAGTTAAAAATTCCATTACTTACGTGACGGGAATTTACTGATATTTTGCGCAATGCGAATTAGCAGCCTGGCGGCCATCATGTGATTGCCAAATTTGACATGACACTATTGAAAAAATAAAACTACGATTAAACGTTTGCCTGATCTATGAAAACAAAGTTGTTTAAGAAAAAATCCTTTATTAATCGTAAATTTGCGGTGATGTTGTTTGCTGTATGATTTATTATCACTTCAGTAGTGTTGTTACTAACTGAGAGCCTAGCAACAAAGCGCTTGCAGTACAGTGGCCCTATCACTGTGTCAACTTCCATCCATGTTTTATGGGAATCTTGCTGTTGATAATGTTGCTTATACTGCCTTCTTCAAGCCGGACACATTTAGTAAAAAACACTGAATTGGGAGAACAAGCATAGCGGTGTAGGATCGCAATTACGTGATTCAAATGCATTATTCCCAATATACGCAGAAATTTGCCTTTACGGATGTCATATTTGACTTGTGCAAACTTCCCGTTGGCATCACTCAAATCTTCGCCCCCATGGCACTGATGTAAATCGATCAAAGCCGTAGGAAAAACTAGGAGCCTATATCAAAAGGGTTTTACAAAGGGAATATGAAAACTTGTTTCAATGAATGCTAAATCACACCAGAATTGTATTCCAGTGAAAAGGGAAGAGATCTCCATTTAGTTTACAATTGAGAAGATCTATTTGAAACTGGTGCTCGAGCGAAGCGGCAAAGAAAATAGGGCGTTACCTTGGCGAGAATGTAGGAGTGAAGGAGGCCCAAGTTATCCAGCATTTCAACGGGGACCTTGATGTGTCGCTGTCGCAGCTCCTGCACCATGGAGAAGAGGAGATCACGAGCGTTGCGATATTTTCCGTTTGACTGTTCCTCACGTGCGATTATCACAGCAGTGCGCGCGGCGTCGCGATATTGGTGGAGGGCCATGTAGAGGCGAAAGAGGTGCCGCAGGTCCTTCGCAATGCCGTCTGATTCGCCCATCAGATATGTAATTACCAAGTTAGTTAACTTCTTGTCTCTCGCCTCGCCCACGGCCTCTATAGCCAGATCCAGTGCCGACGATGTGTCCGAGTAAGGTACTTGAAGCAAGTGGCGAACTGCCTGTATTTATTCCACCGCAATCACATTATACCGATAGTAAATAGGGTTGCACTAAACCTTCAAACATTTGAGGTGTTCTATAACTGAGGTATTTCTGGTAAAGTGGATGTCACAATGAATTTAATGATAATTACAACTTCTTGCAACTCATTATCTCCAATCGAACTAGAGCCTGGTGCAAATGCGTAACATTTGAAAGCGTAAAGTTATCTTAAGAAAGATTTCGGAAATCGCAATTGTCAGTTAAACTGATTGACACCAACAAAGTAAGATTCTTCCAATAAGGCACTCCAAAAGCAACGCAGCGCTGACGTACTTTTACATATTGTTTGGCGTATAGAAAGAATTTCCCGGCCAGTAGAGAATTCCTTTCACACTCAAAGTGGACGGCGATGCTTTTGTATTTGTCGGGTGAACCGCCCCTCCCTTTATTTGCAACATGGTTTGTCAATAAGTCAATTGTTGAACGTAAATCTTTATCAATAGATTGTACCCGTGATTGTGCTACGATGGCTACATTTATTCGTATAACTATTTGAACTTAATATTTTAATAGGCAATAACAATGAGGTCATTACCTAATTTAATACCTGATTAGCCTCGGCCTGAAGCGTTGTACACTAAATGTTTTTTTTCAAGCAAAGTTAAGAATAGGAAGCTGCACGATACGTTACCGACTAACAATTTGTCACCATTAAATTATTCACTCTGTCAAAATTAAAGTCCGTTTACAACCAAGAGAAATTTAATGGCGTGTATTTGGAGGTTTTTTTCTTATTTTTTATTTAGTGCTTTAAACTGTTGTGGTAAAACCCACCTATCACATTGGCGTAAACGTCCATTTTGCGATGCTTCAAAGCAAGCTCGTATGCAGCATCGTGGCATTTTGAAAGCACAAGGACCTGAATGGCAGACGCGAAGTCGCCCACCTTTGTGAAGTACTGAGCCACCGTCTTGGCTGCCCCTACACTCTTCTTCTCTCTAACTACTTTCACTGCTGCGGTGGGGTTGTTCATCTTGTCCAGAGTTAATCTTAAACACATTGACACACACGTCAGAGCAAGTCAGGCATCACGAATGTTGGTGCAAGGTAAGTGTTAAAGTTATTTGCCTTTAGGCTCAAAAACGACGACTAAAAAGTCTTCAGCATTTGGAGGCAGAGATTTATGTATAGGGTATATATGCACATGCGTAACCAAGATCTCAAGCATTTCTACAGCTAAAATGAAACCTACACAGTTTTCAGAAAACACAATAATCCCATATCGTATCTATCTAACCCAATGAGCAAATGGTAAGTTATTTGCAAATAAAAAAGTGCCTCCGTGCATTTGTGCTTTGTAGCAAATATGTGACATGACACGTATTCTCGGACGAAAAGTGCTAAAACGAAGCACGCTTCACTGAAGTGTAAATGAACGGACGTGCTATTCTCGAGCTCACTGATCCGCAGGGTGTTAGTATGACTGTGGAGACTGATGTCGTAGGTAGGATTTGCATTTGTAGTTTTAGGTTATATCAAGCTAAGTAAGACTACTATATCCAGTAAGTAGACGCTCTAGGTATATTATTTTGGTTTATAGAAAATTCGGATTATCCATTTTCGTGGCTAGCTAGCATTTAATGTATATCTCGTTAATACATTAGTAGATCATTTTGATCATATATGGTTTAACGGGAACCAGTACAGGTATCACCGTGGCATTAATGAGGACTTAAACAGTTTTGCATCGCAGTAGAGTAATCAGTAGACAAATTCACTCGGAAAGATTAATTAAATGAGCTCGACCGAGCTGAGCATCCAATTGCACACTTCAGTATATCATGGAAAAACGTTGGCCTTCTGCATCAGTTTACACACCCATATAAAAGTGGCCACTAGCAAGCTCACCGCACAACTGATTCCCAGTCCTTAGCACTTTCGTAGGCGGAAATAGCCTCTGCATACGCACCACTTGATTCTCTCGCCTTGGCGTACTCCAGATACAACTGACAAGAGGCCTTCGTTGTGCACAGTAGTTCACCTGCCTTCTTGTAGTTTTTCGACTTGAGGTAGACTGCAATCGCAGCATCCATCTGTCCAACGGCCTCATGGAGAGCTGCAGCTTCTGACCATTGCTAAAAACCAGTAAATCCTACTATCGTTCTCATTAATAAATCAGTATGCCGTGAGAAGGGCAAAACACAGTTAAGTAAACTTAAGTTGCAACACTTTGATTGAATCCCTAAATTTATGGTAAAGTATGCGCGGAAGTGAGATTACAGAGTTATAGTAGGAGTTATGGGTTCATTTAAAAGTTACTTTGCAGTTTTCTGAGCATATGAACGATTGGCATACGTTCCTAATTTTAGGATATGGCCAATTAAACACTTTTGCAAATTTTTGTACGTTGGATGAGGAAATGATTTCGTGAATTTTATAGCATTTTAAATAAGGACTATCAATCTAATTATGGGAGCTAAGTATTTTAAAATTCCATACCCGTGCTTGCTCCAGAATTGACGCGCATTCCTTTTTTAGAGCTAGGCTGGGGCTTTTCAGTACCATGGATAAGCCTCTAAAACAAAGCGAACCATACAAGACAGTTTTTAAATTACACACCACTAAGGGAAATTTCTAATCTAAACCTTTTACAATTTTTTTGAGGTACTCAAAACTCGTGTAGTCAATATATTCAATTAATGTAGAGCTACTATAGTAAATACATAGCCTTTTTCTCAATTCCATATTCGATACTCTATCATACAGTTACAGATTAACTCAATCACAATAAATTGCTCAACAAACATGAAAAAAATAGCCGGCAAAAGTAAACTGACCAACCCACTAATTCAAAACATGTGTACTTAAATGCGACCGTGTTGTACTAGTGATTTGACGGACAATTTTGCACTTTACTGCTGATTAATATCCATGTGTGATTGCCTCCCATTACAATTGGATCGTACCGCTTATGGTCGCCAAGACGGATGGTATTTCTGATGACTCCTGCACTACAAGTGTCTACGTGCTCATCCCACTCGTCGAATTCGCAGTCACCAAAACCGTCACAGCCACCATTGAGTATAGTTGTGGCTTCTGTCTCGAAAACACTGTGGTCTGTATGTTTGTCACTAGTCGCTGGACGTTCCAGGGCTCGTTCATAGTGCATCAGGGCATTTACATAGTCTCCGACGCATTCAAGCTCGAAAGCATATTCTCGACTGATAAAGGGAACCTCATGGGGCTGCAGACTCCGAGCCAACTGCAGAGCAGCATCCCAGTGCAGTAGATCACGACGCATCTGCGAAATACATACATGATCTTAGTGGAGATACAATGCTACTGCCGCTGGTGCTACTAGCATTAAAGGACACTTTTAACACTAAATTGATTACTGACTAACCTCCAATGCCGCCTCGGGCTTGGAAGAGGCAAGGAAGAACTCCTGTGCATGGTTGAATTCGCCAAGAAACATGCAAACATGGCCGTACAATAATTGCTTCTCTTCAATATTCATTAGCCTTTGGATTACAAGTACTGAGCCACAGTCATTTAGCCTACGAAAAGCCTGGATAGCTGAAAAACAAGATTCACGTCCAAATATTAGCTTCAACTGGTAGATAAATTAATCATTTTTCCGACTTGTCCGTTCTCTACATTGAATGAGACCACGCCTGTCGCATATTTAAGACATTTTATTGCATTATGGAAGCATGCTAGGGGTAAAAACAGTTTCAACTTCAAGTCTAAGTACTTACCAATCCAGCCTAAAAGGTTCTTTTACTTGCATGCGCGAATGGCTTCGAAGTACCGGCATTATTCAGAATATGCTTACTGGGTGCGCATAATACACAAGAACATATTTGGATACGATATGCTACCTTTGATCCAACTTCAGAAGGATAATCAGAACATACCGAGATCAAACTCGAGGCAAATGATGCAAGCCCTAGCAAGTTGATGCCATCGCAACGGCAGCTGAATTAAGTCGGCGAGTATCAGAGCATCTTCGAAAGCACCGGCGTTTAGGGCCTTCTCAAAGTGTGAAATAAGCTGAAAGGTTTTAAAGGATCTCAACATTTACAACGACCCCTCTTCCGTCCGTTTACTTATTGGAAGATCCAGATAAAATCTTGATACCAAAAGTGGCGATTATAGCAAAGCCTCAGACAATGTAACACCAAATAAACACGAAGAAGTGCTAAACTGTTCAAAGATCAAAATGAAAGGTTCTCTAGCATTAAAATTTGTTTTCAACAGTACATACAAGCCATGAATTACAATACCCAAAAGTACTTCAAAACAGCATCCCTTCAAAATTTAGTTTTTTCCTTTTAGTTAATTCATAGCGAAACCCACTTATTCCTAGTATTGGTGAAAGAACCAAAAATTTGGACTTAAAAGACCATGTTAACCTCAAGGTTGGACTTGACAAGCTTGGCACCTGAACCAGCAGCTTACACTGTTGTCCAGATGTTTACTTTTCTCGTCCTGAATCTTCTCCAGTTTTATGTAAGAGGTCTGCTTAGTGCCGCGCGCATCTGACGTATTCTCTAAACCGACATCAGGTCCTGCTCCACGGTTTTTGGCATACGGTTTCGTGTAATTTCTGAATGTGTGACTGGGGAGAGTGGCATGAGCTAAACTACCACTTTGGGTAAGGAAACAAACGTCCTCTGCGAAAAAGCCAAGAGGCGTGTGGTTTGGAGGTAGGCGCATACGGTCAAGTAAGCGACATTGTCCATCTAAACGACAAATAAACAAGCCTGGATTTTGAAATGATACATTCACTCATGGAATGCTCAAGTATTCTGACGAAACCACATCAAAATCCACTAGCGTATTCTTATCTAATCACGCTTTTCACTGGTCCATATATTCCGGTCTAGTGTCTCTAGATTGTTTTGTCATAAATATCTACATCTATGGCTAAAATGAAATACAGACGCCAACATTCTTGGTTAATCATTCAAGTCACAAATGGCCAATTTCAATGATAGCAGTCCATGATTTTGACCATTATTTTGCATTTTTAACACGTTTTCTGTATTTTACTAGTATAATGAGACGTACACGCGGCTCTTCGAGATGACAGAATGTGCCTTTGTGGAGATGCAATCTGTGGAGTCTTTTTCTCAGACGCTAGCAAATTCATATTTCCAGTAGTTCCTTCAAATGACCGACTAAAATCCAGCGTTGCACCGAAAAGCGACACTTCGCGGCCCTGCTTAGCACATTCGTCTTCAGAAAGCAAGATACTCGCAACGAAATATCGGTAGATTATGAGAAAATCATTTGAAACAGCCATCAGCAGGGGCTAGATTTAAAAGTAAACACGTTTTCCATAAATGGCAAACAATTACGAAATGTATTTTTTGCTACTGAACTGGCAATTCGTCAGATCTCCATGTTAAATCCAATGATGCTTGTAGTGCTTAATCAAATCACAATTCACACATTTGAAATGGTGGCAAAATTCAACCTACATTCTCGCAATCATCGAAATTCCATAGAATGCGACTCATTCCGACAGGAGAGTTAGGAACTTCTACAAGGGTTGAGGAAACCTATAAGAGACCAAAGACATAGGTGTAACAAATGAATTTTAATGAGTGTATAGATGGTGATTGAATTCTCATGATAGCTAATGAGATTTACGAAAAGTTTAACAACCTATGCAAGCTGATTGTCACAAGACCTTACTATGACTGAAATGAAAAACAACGCAAGTACCAACTAACCGAGTTGAAAATGTACGCATTATGTTGCGTGTCGATGAAGGCAAGTACGCATCCAGACTTTGTAGAGGCTAGTGAAGTTATTGGACAGTAATGTTCGTACGTATTGACAATAGCCCATTCACCAATATGAAATTGGTATAATTTTCTAGACTAAAGAGCAAACGTAAGTTACATGCTACAAGTGGATTTATGAAGACAAGACATAAATCAAGGACTCCGTAGAGAAATCTTTGAAGTTAACTTATTCTGGTACCAAAGGTTGTTTATACAACAGGAATTCGGAATATGGTAAAACTTTTGAAGACTCGAATAATGTCTCTTAAGCAAGCGCACTTTATCCACAGGCAAAACCAACCAGTCACAGTTCTGGGAGAACATATTTTAATGTGCAAAAAGGATGTATAAAGGAACTTTGATTTTATAAGTAATAATGAGAATACTGGTCCGGAAGATGAAAAATGAGCAAATGATGACTTACATCGGTCGAATAGCTTAGCAAACTGTCCGAAAGATCAAAATCAATTACTCGTCCGTCACTTTGCGGAAAAGTCTTCTCCCGCAATGTATAAGAATGCACCAAATCAGGCAGGTCCTGGGCTTCCAACTTGCCTTGATTGTAAACTTGGCAATGTCCACCTTCATTTTCGACTAGCGTTAGCACTTTTGCATTAAAGCTATCAAATTCAATCTTTAAAAAGAAAGATCAACTAAGAACTTCATATCATGGAAAGTGTATTAGTTTTCTAATGAGGCTTTACCATGTGAAAAATAACACGACCCGTGACGGTGCCTGCAGCCGCGTAACTGCCATTCAGTTTGATTGTACGCACTGTCTCTGGGTAGGTGCGTTCGCTGACAACCCGGACACCTTAGTAAACACTGATTACAGTTATAGGATGTAGGAGCGAGCTCTTGAATCTCACATACGTTCACCACAAACCTACGTTAGCCTCATCCACAAAGCTATTATATTACAGACGTAAATCTAAGAGTTATTAAAGGATGTATTCTTTATAATAAACTTACTGGCCTAAATGCAAAACTCTGGTGCACATAAGCAAAAGAGTGATTAGCTTAAGTAAACTCAAACCATTTGAAATCCTTAAATTCAACAAGTCAAGAATGTTCCAAAAAGTCACCTTCTGTACTTGATATGTTGTAGAAATAGGCACTGTTGTCTAAACCAACAGCTAAATGGTTAGGACCGATTCCCATAAAGGTGGGTTCTATACGTACGGGAACGGCACGAGAAGTCAACTGATTAGTCTTCATATCACCCTGAATTGGGGAGAAATCAGCAAATGGAAGTACTACCAAAAAATGGATGAACCTTACATGTGCCTATTTAAATGTTTTTATTTTTGCAAATTTGTACACGAAATGATCTAAATAGTCTGAAAAACACAACCGTAAGGCGCGTAATTACATAAATGATGCCAAAAAATCTGGGAATAAGCTTACGCATAATGACTCCAAAGTGATCTCAAGAAGAGACGTGAACCTGGCCACGATTCCTGCAGATGAAACACTACTCATTAAAGGCAGCCGACTTATGAAAACATGGAGAACGTTCCTAGGTGAGACGATGCCCATTAACTGTCCATCATCTGACCATTCCAGAGAGCAAGAAAAAAGATTCCGTGGAAAGGCTCTTGTTGACGAATGTGAGTCTTTCTCCGGATCCGCGTCATTTACTTCTATTATCGCAATCACTTCATTCACATTGCTCGATTCGTGAACCTTAATACTTAGAAATAAGCCTTAATAAGTCAATCAAATAGCAATCACAAAAGATGGTCATCGGACTGAAATCAATAAGGCGAAGCTCAACTATTTATTCCAACTAGTTCCTAACTCGGTGAAAATTATGAGAATCATCGGCTCAGATAGCATGATTTTGGGGATTTTTCAAAGTAAAGATTTCCTTAATGGGGGTTCCTTTTGACAAAGATGGGACATTTGTTTTCCTAAGCATTCAAAGAAATTATTTTTAGTGGAAAAATGTCACGTGTTGTGCCAATATTGCACACTTCATGCAGCTCAGTTAAGAATACCATTCATCACTGGCGGTGGCAAGCAGCTGAAGTTTGGTTGAGACAGCGAGTGCGAGTAAGCCTTCACCATACTCCCGAATCCTAAGGAGTTCCTTTATAGCAAAAATATTACAAGGGAATTGGCAGAAACCTTTCCTGTGCCTGGTCCTGCCATGGAAATAAGCGCAAGACTGCCCTCAGAAAATCCGACAATGATGTTTTCCGTATCTTGCCACGCGTGCGCCACTGCATTACCGTGCGAATCATCGAAAGTGTAGGAGACTGGTTGTGTATCTTCATGAAAATTCCAAATAAGTAGCTGATTCTGATTAACGATACAGCTAATCTGCTCAAAAGATTGCGAATATCGGCATTAAGGGCTGAGCACATTTATAAATTAGGCCAAGCATGGGTTACTTATCGGCTTACCGCATTATCTTCACTTTGTCCAAATTTTGACAGCGATGTATGGGCAAAACTCACATCTTTTGGCAAACCTCCAAGCTTTACTTGTTTGATAAGATCACCATCAATAGAGCTAAGTGACAAGACCCTATCTTCCCCAACAGTCGTCAATAAGCCCGTAAAACTCCAAACGACACCAGAAATTCGGCGCGTATGCACACCTAAGACTGGGTATTTTCTGGAAATTAGAAAATTCCATATAAACTTTGTTGTAGTCCAGTCACAAATTAGCATATTTCCTTTTGAAGTACCGACTGCAAATCTTTCATCCACCTTGGACCAAGCAATAGTGCTAAGATTTTCCCTATTTTGATTCAGAAACGCGCAGACATTTTACTTAAAATGGGTGGAAAATTTAATTGTTTTTAAGGAGTGGACCTCCCAAATGTAAACGTAGTGAGTTTGATCATCTATAATGGCCAGAACTTGCCCACTTCGTTCCCAGTCCAAATCGACTACTTGACTGAATCGATAATACATTGAAAACCAACAAACCCCTGCGTCAATACATCTCCTCGCTTAGTTCCGTGACGATCAAAGATACAAACCTGCGTTTCTGATCTTAAATATCGCAAAATTCATTCCGAATGTCATAATCTCAGGTTACCCAAATGTTGCAATTAGGTTTGAGGTTCCTTTTTGGATTTTAAAGCCAGAATACCCAGAGTAGTTGCATCCAATATTGGTCGAAAACAATTTCTGCACAATAGGTTAAGAATCAAAGTTGAATCCAAAACCTTCATTTATGGTGAAAAACAATGTCTTAACGATGAAGAACAATTTGGCGCAATCTTAAAGCGTTCAAAGGCCACACGCTTAAACAAAACTCAAAATTTAAAGGAATGGTTTCTTACACATTAATGGTACCCTAAAGGAGAAAAAATTTCCTACAAAGGAAGATATCATGCAAAGCACTCACCCATTCTTCAAAGTTTTCTGTTTAATCGTCCATCCAGCAAAGCATTTTAGAGTCACTTAAGGCAGAGCCGCGCAATATTTAGGGAAATCGGTAAATTCAATACACGAAAGATAATTAAATGCCATAGAAAAAAGTATAGCACAAAGACTATAAGGTACAAAGGAGCGTACAAAGCAGCTAGAGGGCCATTAACATGAGTCAAAAGCGCGGCTTCGATAGACGACTTAACCCAGCTTTTGGCAATGCAAGCATTAAAATCTCCACAAATGGTGTTTCCGCTTGGCAGGACGGCCTCCAGGTAATGCCGACATCCTCCATGTAATTGTGCATGTCCATGATGTATTTTTGCAGCTCTGCTGCAAGCTTTGCAACGTTAAAGAAGATTACAAAACCAGAGGCAAAATGATGTAGCTTTTCCATGATCCTTCAATATTTAGAGAAAAATCACACCAGG